CAATGTGCATTTTAAGAGAAGAATGGGGAACCAGGAGTACGGATTATTTTCATTGTTGTTCTGGTGTAACTCTTAGTCTAGTGACTTGGCTCACTAGTGTCCTGTACATTTCAATTAAATTTTTCAGTCTAGTAAAAGGTTTTCAATGTAAGTCTGCCATCTCATAGGTTTGTGAGTAAGTGGAATAAGTGTCTTAAAAAGTGCGTTTGCCGAGTATTTGAGGTTATCAAAGAATTTGATATGCCTGCGTGTAATAAAGTCGCCCACTTTCGGTAATTCGAGGGTGCTATTTAGTTGGTCCGAACGTGTTTTTCATAAAGTTGTGTGTCTTACTATTGTCAGTATACCGTTCTGAAACTGTTGGAGCTTCTTCGATATTGCCGGTGATATGTTAGCTAGGAGTGGTGCCCCGTAAAGGACGGTCGGTCTTAAAATACTTTTGTAAATCGTTAATTTGAGGAGGAGGGATAAGTTAGGAGAAGTCAATAGATAGTTGAGCCTATATGTCTCGGTCCTATCCGAAATTTCTTGTTACAGTGGCGAGCCAGTGTTAGGTGCCAATCGAGAGTAACTCCGAGATGTACTATACTGCTCGCCTGTTTGTTCTCGCTACTCGCTACCTTATAGACCTTAGGGAGAAGGCGTTTGTTCTTTTGAAAGGAGAAAATGATGCAGTCTGTCTTCTTTTGGCTGCAATATTTATCCCTTTTAGTTTGTTAATGATATTTTCACAGTCCTCCTCCGCATGCCGTAAAGCTGTCTCTGCGCTGATTGATCTACTGTAGATAGCAATGTCATCAGTTGCTACAGTCGCTTTCTTGTGCTTTTCTCCAAAAGTTAAGCAGTGTAGAAACCTTCTTTCTTGATGTTATGATTAAATTATCTCACGATTCAAGTGGGAAGCAAATTTTTTTTCTTATCCTTCATTTAATTTTTCAACTATTATAGTTAGTGTTGCCCAAAAATGGTCTTGGTCTTGGTGTTAAACTTTTGCAAGACCAAGACCAAGACCGCTTTGATTGTCGCGAGACCAAGACGAAGAGCGGACCCTGCATGTCTTGCGCAAGACAAAGACTGACCTGCAAGAATCTTGCGCCTTAAAACTGAGATTTGTGCGTTATTGACTATTTGGTTTCCATCTAACTATAAAGTTAGAATTTCTTCTTTAACACAAATCAGACATAATTAGTAATAATTAAAAAACATAATGTAAGATATTTCTTAACTCTTTAACAACAGTGGACTCGCATATGAGTCGAGAGCCTGTCGGGCTCTTCTCTTGAAATTGCGATGTGCTCAGTGATGCAACTCTATTTTCAAATTATCTCTTGACCTTTCTATGAGACATTTGACAAACAAAACATTTGTGTATTGAGTCAGAGGAAGTGGTTAATTTCCAACTTTGATTCCAAGAAAGCTTTCCTTACCCACGACGTTTTATTTGATTATCTTATTTAATGCTTTATAGTTAGCAAGAATACATAACGTAGACAATTCTGTTTGTTTACATTCTGAAATAAAGGAATAAGGTTCCTCCTAATTATTAAATCTCCGACAACGTAAGTTATATTATATCCTCATCGGTCGCTGTTGACTTATTTGATAAGACCGACAAAGACCTGGCTTTATCAAAAGACTGTGCTAAAAGTGTATTACAGGATTGACTTTGCTGTATCGCCGCCGCTTTCATGACAAAGGTTGCCGACTTTTCAAAGAATAAAATAAGTTTACAGGCTTACGAACCGGAACGGGCTGATTTATGAAAATCCCTCTTATTATAAATATATAATTATAAGTCTTATAGGGGATAAATATTCAGGAAGCAGTCATTATACAAAAATTTTGTTTGTGCCGACGTTTCAACCTAAACATGTGGGTCATCATAAGTTGTTTTTCAGCTCTGTTAAAAGAAGTCAAAGTGAGCAAAAGATGAGGTACCTTATTATCGACATGAGCCCAAACCGGTGCTTATATATAAGTAACTTTTATATATATATATTTATAAGTTACTTATTAATTTTGATCAGTTAATAATAAAAAAACTGGAGTAAAAATAATGGAGAACGAACTAATAATTTATGTACATATTTACAGTAGTATCTATTTACAATTTTATGGGGACTGGATGGATAAGAAATGATTAAACAGGCGAGATTTAAAGGTAGGATTGACGGATGTGGGAAGGGATGGAGTTCCATAGGGATGAGGATCGGATAATGAACGATTTGTCGAAAACAGCGGTTAGGTGGGCCCTTATGTATAAATCAGAAGACCGGGAACGAGTGGGCGGGGTGGCCGAATAGGCTAAAGCTTGTGTAACAGCACCGCTAGTTGCCTGGCAACCGGATAACAGAGATTTGAGATGATATAAAAAGTACGAGTTCGCGTCCCGGTGCCGGAGGGGATTTTAAATTTCCCCGCCCTCACCCCCCCCCCCGGCCCGGGAAAATCCCGTATAGCCTAAAAGGCGAGGTAGGGAAGAACAAAAAAAAAAAAAAAAAAAAAAAAGACCGGGAACGAGTATTGCGGGAACGAATAGAGGATTTGAATTGAAGGAGCTCGGAGATGTATGAGGGACGGTGGGATTGGATGACTTGAAAGAGGAAGGATGCCAGGAAATACTTACGACGGAAGGAAGGATAAAGCCACTTTAACTCCGCATAAAAATGGGAAACAGAGGCGTCCCTTGGGATCCCGAAGATGAATCGTACAAAGCAATTTATCAAACGTTTTAGTTTCGTTTTAGGGTGGAAATGGTACGGCTGGAAATATTGGATATATGGCTTTTCCACGAAAGCGTTTGATCAATGGTTATTCCAAGATTTTTGGGATAAAATTTGATGGGATTATTGTGTAGGGACAGAGTTGGAACATTAGGAACAGTTTTAAGAAGGTGATTGGAGCCTATTAAGATTGCTTTTGTCTTGTCCGCATTCAACTTCAAGTTGTTTGCTCTTGCCCAGTCACAAATTCTATTCAAGTCTTCTTGAAGTTTTTCTATGGCTGATAATAGGTCGGAGGGCAGAAAGGACAGGTATATTTGGAAATCATTTGCCTAGATATGGTATTGGGGGTGTTGGATCAGGAGGGGAAAGTCATTGATGTGAATAGCAAACAGAGTATAAGATAGAGAGGAACCTTGAAGAACACCACAAGAGAGGGGGAGGGTCTTAGATGGAGGTTGGGACGACCACATACTGGGATCGATTTGAAAGGAAGAATTTGAACCAGCGCAGGGCACTGTTGGATAGATGAAGTTTGTGCAATTTAGTAAGGAGGATGTTATGGTCAATTGTGGTGGTCAAACGCTTTGGAAAAATCTAGAAGGATGAAGATAGTAAGGTTTTGGTGTCCAATAAAGTTTTGGAAGTCATGGGTTATTTTAAGGAGAGTGGATTGCGTTGAGTAGCCAGGTCGAAAGCCAGATTGGAATGGTTTGATAAGGGAACGTTCTTCTAGGAAGTTTGAGAGCTGATTTTGGACAAGGCGTTCTAACGGCTTTAAAAGGTTGGATAGGAGAGAAATAGGACGGTAGTCGTGCAGTGAGGTAGGGTTGGCAATTTTATTCAAAGGTCGGACTAGGGCGGTTTTCCAGGAGGATGGGCATATGGAGTTTTGCAATGAAAAATTATAGATATGATAATGAACAGGAATAAGGCCAGGAAGACTGGATTTTATTAGTTTTACTGGAATATTTTCAGGACCATATTCATTAGTGTGGGATTTTAGGATAGTGGAAAGTAATTCATCGTAGGACACTTGGGAGAAAAGGAAGTCTTCAGGATTGAAGTTGTGATGTTAAATATCGAAAGTAGGAGAGGAAGAGTGAGTAAAGGATAAGAAATAGTTATTGAGATCATCTGGAGAAAGATAGAAGGAACTAAGGTTATTGGATTCTGGTAGGGATAGGTTACGGAGTATTTTCCATTTAGATTTAGTCGGGAGCATTGGACAGGGCATTATGGAAATAGATGGTTTTAGCAAGCCGGACTGCGGATTGTATTCCATTGTGAAGCGCCTTGAAAGACGCATAAACCACAGGTAGACGGGTTCGACGGTATTTGTGCCTTGCTGCCAAGGTACAGTGGAACGGCATAAGGTTTTTGTTTTCAGAGGAGCGTGGATGTCTAATATGGATTGTAGGTTTGAGGTCAGGGTGGATACCATAGGACCAATGGAGTTGTAGGAATATATGGTGTCCCATTGGACAGAATTAAGGTCTGGTTTAAGGGATTCATAGGAGAGAAGATTTAAATTGCGGTATGAAACTATTTTGGGAGTGAAGGATTTCACGGCTAGGTTGTATGTAATTTGGATCAGGTCATGTGATGAAATAAATGGAACTGGATGGAGTACAGTATTAGGACGGAGTACAAGGAGTAGCTTGATGTCCTTGTGGCGGTAATGTTGGATCTGTCAGCGTGCTGCCCGGCTTGGAGTATCCATGCTCAATTAAAAAACTGAAGAGGATATCATTATTTATGTTAAAACAAAACACAGGGATCGAAACGTTTTTGAATAAATGGAATAAACAGAAGTTTTTTTAAAGTCATTTAAGTGTATTTCATGATCTATTATCCGACTATAATTCATATCTTAAGTTATATATATAAAATGATAATTAATTTGGAAGAAAAAGAAAGAAACTAACTAATTGTATGGAATGGGATTCAAGTGATTCTAGAAGTCTTATTAAATGTAATTAAACGAACAATAATGTTTTTAAGGATAATTTTTCATAAGAAATGGTAATATTTTACCATTTTTGGGGAGAAGAGCTTCAGCCTGAATGGCCCTACGTAGATGTACGTAGATCCACCTGTGACACCCTTTACTTAACAAATAAAGAAATAAATCCATGACAATCATTTTATAAGTAAACTATTATTAACTATAAAATAATAAGTGTAGTGGGGGTTAACTGTTGACTCAGTTGACCGTTTTAATGTTGGAGGAACGATAGCTAATTAATTTAGAGCCAGTATGTCTTTGGATTGAATGTTAACCGCCCATGTGGGTTATATTTGTAAATATGGAGTTGATTGAAAGTGTTGCGTGAGTTCAGTTTTTTTTTTTTTTTTTTGTGACAATTAGTTTTAAGTTTTGAAATGGTTTAGTTGGACTTTTGTTATGGATCGTAATACTGCCTTGTTCTTCTAATTAGTAGGGTTGATAAAATTTTACTATTTTTTTTATATAAACTTCATTATTTAGCGCTGTCATAGTCTAATATAAAAATTATCTTTCTTCCATTGATAAAATATCATGTGTTATTGTAATTATAGCCACAATATTTTATTTTTGGTTACTTTATGGTTAAATGTTGATTCCTGTCATTTTCTTTAAACCAGTGTTTCATTATTTATTTAGTTTATTGCATTTAGCACCCATTCTGGGATGTGATTCTCTACTTCTCTGAGCTGTGATACCACCATTCTAGACATGATAATAGAATAACTTGTTTAAAAACAATAAATTCATGCTTTCATCATGTTGGATTCTTATTCAATTATTTATTTGAATTAATGCACAAATCGGGTCATATAAAGTTAATGTTAGGATTAATCAGGATTCTTTTTCTAGCTATCTTTTGTTGATATATGAATATATTAGGTTATTCAATAGTTTATTCATTTTGAAAGTGTAGTTTAGAATATATATTAATTGGTAGTGTTGAAGAAAACCTACTCTTAGTACCGAGTTCCAAGTATTTTACTCAAATTTAGTCACTCCTAGGACTTTGATTACTCCTTTAGTTGATCGTCTTTCATGAACTATTTGTAGTGAAATCAAGTATTTTAGTAAAATACTTGGTTCTCATAGTAGTATTTACCCATATACACCAAGTAGAAGACACTTGCATTATATTGAGGTGAAATCTCAGTTGATTAACTATTAAGAAGATGTTTGTTCTTGGGAAAACATTTTTATGAGCACCAATCTTTATGGATGTGACCTATTTTAATAATTTTGACCCTTTCAGTTGTAGTTAAATAGATGTCAAGAATTATTATGTTTTATTTTGTTCTTAAGAATCACTTACGGATCCACGATATATTTTGGGTGCGTCAGCCCGAAAGATTTTTTTTTTGTATGTATATTTTAGTATAATCATTTCGGAAGGAAGAAAGAAACTTACTATCTATATAAAATGGTGTTTAAGTGATTCTTTGAGTTTATTAAATGTAATTAGACGAACAATAATACTTGTAGAGATAATTTTTTTGATAAAACGTGGATATATTTTACCATTTTGGTCGGGGAGGGACTTCAACCCGAAAGTCCCCCCCTCCCCCCTGCGTAGATCCGCCTTTGATAAGAATTAAAGTTAATCATAATGTATAGTATAAGATTTTCCTCCTTTATTTATATGGATTAAAGCTGCTGTATCAACCTTTATAATTATGGAGCAGAACCATCAGATTAGTGTTGATATGATTCCTATCCTGTTAGACTTAATGTGTGTATAAGAAAAGTCTGCTCTCTGTCTGAAAAGTCTGTTCTATAGGGTGAACACAAAAGTTATGGGAAGGGTGCCCAGTGATGGAAAGATTGGATTTACATTTGAATAATAAGCTTCCTTGTTGATTTAAAGGTTCTAGTTTTTTCTAAATTGAAGAACAATACCCTCTAGTGACAACTTAATGAACAAAGTTCCCAAAAGAAGATTTTAGAATGCTTGCCATTGTTGTTTATATATTGGTTTTGAGATCAGTGTGTCTTATACCTTGCTAACGACAGTTTTGCTTAGGGAAAGTTGAACATTTATGTTCTTTGGTGTTTACATTTTAGAGTTTTCACAACAAAAATATTCAATTTTCCATTTTAGAACCTCAGCTATTCGATTTTAGCGTTAAATGTAATTGTACTTTTTGAGTAATGAAATTAACTTTTTGTTTTCTTGATTAAATACAATGGTTCATTATTGCAAATATTAAACAAAACATCTGAAGGATCTAATTTTGGTGAAAAATGAACTATGCCTGGTAAGCATGTTAAGGGACCATAGAAGCATTCTCTATTATTATTATAAAATATGATAATTATTTTTAAACAATAATGTTTCTTATTATGTAAGCATCTCAAGAATTTATTATTAATTTTTCATATATATTGGTTTACACAATAAACCAATTATAAACAAAGTAATTAATTAAAATAAATGTATTTATAGTTTTTTTTTTTTATAGTATAATGAAGATTTTAGAATGTTTCTGAGGTATGTGCATTACTGGCCTGTCCATAACCAGTTTTTCGGGGTGTCCTTCACTAACGCCAAAAGGTTTTGTTTTTTTAATGGAGAATAATAATAATACTTTATTTATTCTGGGACGAGTCCCTTTAGAATAATACAGGAATACAGAAATGAGGGCTAAGGAGCCTCAGAGATATATAAATAAAAATACAGAGTAATTGAACAGTCTTGGTTAAAAAAAATAATATATATATATATATATATATATATATATATATATATATATATATATATATATATATATATATATATACACATATACATAAGTTGCTTTCCAATTTTGATCAGTTGATAATAAAAGAGAGAAAAAAAAAAAAGATAAACAAAAATTGGAGAAAAAATAATGAAGAACGAACTAATAACTTATGTACATATTTTCAGTAGTATCTATTTACGATTTTATGGGGACTGGATAGATAAGAAATGATTGAACAGGCGGGATTTAAAGGTAGGAAGGGTATTAGATTGACGGATATGGGAAGGGATGGAGTTCCATAGAGATGAGGATCGGATAATGAACGATTTGTCGAAAGCAGCGGTTCGGTGGGCCCTTATTTATAAATCAGAAGACCGGGAACGAGTATTGCGGGAACGAACAGAGGATTTGAATTGAAGGAGCTCGGAGATGTATGAGGGACGGTGGGATTGGATGACTTGAAAGAGGAAGGATGCCAGGAAATACTTACGACGGTAGGAAGGATAAAGCCACTTTAACTCCGTGTAAAGATGGGAAACAGAGGCGTCCCTTGGGATCCCGAAGATGAATCGTTCAAAGCAATTTATCAAACGTTTTAGTTTCGCCTCGAGATCCCCAAATTATACCTGCAAAACTGAATATTTTTCAATTTTAATGTGTTAATTAGAAAAAGGAGACCCTAGAGATTCTAAATGTCCAACAGAGAAGTTTATAACTATAATAATTACGGCAGTTAAGCTAAAAAAAGACAAATATTTCCTAAACTATGACAATCACTGGACAATCTACTTACCCTAATCTATGTGAGTGCAGGATGTGCAAAAAAATTTTAAAAGGTTTAAAATTATAGTTCTTGATTTACAAATCAGAAGATTTTTCGTTTCCATTATTTAGTTCATGTTGGTTTGTTTTGTCTTTTCACTTATTCGAAGTGCTAACTCTTTTTACGCCTGCTTTTTCATACTTCATAAAAATTAATTTTCACTGAATGTTTACAAGCTTGAGAAAAACCTAAGAAAGTATTATGTTATTGTTTTTATTATATTGTTACTTAGTCGTGCCTTATATTACTGGTAAGATAATATGTTCAAGGAGTAATAGTAATGCAAAAAAAACATACTGTAATTCCTAAGAGTAATAGGTTAGTAAATACAAGAATAACTTATTATTAAATTAAAACTTGAATAACTTTAGTCATTAAATTACAAATAAAACAAGACAAATATGTATTTGTCTATGATTTGATCCTGCCTTAGAATCCTGCCTTTTTACCTACGTTTTCTTATACAATTATAGGTACTTGTGAGGGACGCGGCTTATTATTGTTACGGATTGTTATTTAAACTTTTGTTGTTGTTATTTATATTTCTTATAATTAAATGTTTATAACCTGAACACTGATAATTGTTATAAGGCACTGATAATCCCTATCTTCATATGAAATTAGACACTCCTATAATAAGAAATATAAATATATTTGTTGTTGCCTCTTTTTTGTCTGTTTCTTATTATATATTTTTATATATATATATATATATATATATATATATATATATATATATATATATATATATATATGTAATTATATAGTAATTTAATAATAAGAAATATAAATAACAACAACAACATTTTAAATAACAAGATAACTGTCCATAGAGGTCGTCATAAGTACCCAATTATGTTATAATAACCCATGACTTTAAAATCAATTTATGCTCCAACTCTCCTGACAAATCATACCTTGTAGATCTAATCCGTTCTCTTGGCCTTTTCATTGTTTCCTTTCAACCCACTCACCATACCCAGTTCTCAAGTACATGGTTCGACCTTTTTCTAATCGATTCCTCTCAAAACTTATCCTCCTCCCAGAATCCTATTTTTTTCTTTCACATCAAGATTTCCTATAATGTCCCGACTCCTTAGCTAATCACTTGGCATGACCTCGGCTCATTGACCCCATAAAAATTAAATTCTTTTCTTGAAACATTAACCCAATCCTTAGATCCCATCTTCTCATATTCCTCCATTGATGAAGTGGTGGAATGTCTTGTCTCCAATCTTCTCCTATTCCTTAATCAACTTGCATCTCTAAAGACCTATACCTTCAGAAATCCTGTTGCTCCCTGAATTAATTTTGAAATCAGAAGGCTGGTGAAGGGAAGAGACACAGCTAGAAGGCACTTCAAACACACACGTAATCTGGATGATTACATCTTTCAAAACCCTTCGAAAACTAACCCAATATTCCTTGCGACTTGCTAAGGCACAATTCTTCCATATCTCTTTATCTCAAGCAACACCTCCTAAGTCCAGATGGAAGATTCTTAAAAATCTCTCCATAGTAAAATCAAAAACTTTCACCTCCTATCCTGTTTCTCCCGATCAACTGAATTCCCACTTAGCCGATCCTGTCTCAATATCTTTCTCCTCCTCACACTGTTTCCTAAAACTTCCTTGGACTCTACAGATATCTCACCAGAAGACCTGCTTTCCTGTGTCCTCAAATCCATAATAAATGACCGTGTTCCTGCTGTAATCCCAGTGAAATTAGTTAAACCATGTCTCTCTGTCATCTTCCTTGTCCTACTGCATATCTACAACTTTTCCCTTCAAAATTCCAGTTTCTCATCAGCTTGGGAAAAAGTTATTGTCCGAACCTACTGAACAAAGTTCCACTTTCCTCCAAAGTTTCCGATTTAAGACCCATTTCATCATTCTCTCCAATATTTCAAAATCTCTTGAAAGAATTTTCCATTCTCAACTAAATACCTTGCTAGAACAAAAAGCTCTCCTAAATCCTCTCCAGTCTGGTTTCTGATCCCAGTTATCCACCCAGTCTGCTTTGTTGCAAATTATCCTAGACCTTCATTTCTCCATAAACAAAGAAAAAATCTCCATCCTGACCCTCTTTGACTTTTCAAAAGCCTTAGATTCCACTAATCATAAATTCTCCTTTCCAAACAACAAAACCTTTCCATATCAAATAGCATCCTAAAGTGTTTCCGTTTCTTCTTGTATTACAGATCCCAAACAGTTATTATTCCCAATAAAAGTCCTTCCTTCCCCCTCTCACTCATAGTGTTCCTCAGGGACCTTCCCTCTCCAACTCTTTTCTCCATATACACCAACGACCTTCCTGATTCCATCCATCATTCACAATATCACTTATATGCTGACAATTTCCAAATCTACCTTTCCTTTTATTCTACTGATATACTTGAGGCGATCCAAAGACTACAAGAAGATATAAACAGTATCACTACTTGGGCTACGACTAATGATTTAAAGTTGAACGTTAAGAAGACCAAAGCCTATTGGTTCCAAGCATCTTATTAATTCCATTTCATACTATCTCCTTCTCTACCTCAGTGGACTACCTATTCGTTTCCATACTTCTGTTAGAAATCTGAGTAATTTTCGATCAATACCTGTTGTACTGGAATAATCATGCTTCTTAAATTATCCGAAAATCTATTGATACCCTAAAATAGTTCCTGAGATTCCGTGATTCTATGCCCCTAAAAACTCGCCAATTACTAGTTTCCTCACTCATCTTTCCTCACTTCGATTATGGCTGCCTTTTATATGATGGACTGTTTGGTGGGCTTGAGATCAGATTGAAGAGATCAATGAATTAAGTAATGGGAGTCCCCAGGCGCTCCCATGTCTCCAGTTGGTATGCAGAGTTGAAATGGCTATCCAGTTTTCTGGTGGCAATGTTTCCTAGGTGTATTCCTTTTCCGAACCTTTATAACCAAAAAGCCATTTTACCTTCTTGATTTTTTTTACTCTCTTTTCCTCTGTTCATTCGTTTAACATGAGATCCCAGTCCATAAACTTGTTCATTCCATCTCATAGAACCATTTCCTTTAAAACATCCTTTATCATGTGTGCTACCTTTTTTTGGAATGCCATACCTACCTCCTGCTATATATTGTAAAGAGCACATTTAAAATAGATTTCATGTAAATAAAGAGATTAGAAATAAAAACAAAGAAAGTTTTTATTCTATTTATTTAGTTAGGCCAGCAGCAGGTAAGGTTTTTGAGAGGCCGAGGGCTGGGGGCACACTGCCGGCTAATGGATGTCATAAAGATAAGGACTGGAGTAGAAAGGGGGACACGAGACCTTTGAAGAGTGGGTCAGAGAAGGCTGGAGGGCGGAGTCAGCTGGGAGTCATGAAAATAAGACAGTTGAAGGAAGGAGTCTGAGAGAAGCTATACTTATGTAAACTTGTGTTGGCAGTCAATAACAATAATAAAGTCATTAGTAATATTAGTAACTTCAATGAATTATTATTCAAAATAGCATTCTCCTCTAATATGATTCTCTAAAAGTTGTTGTAACTATATGTTTTTGTTTTGTTTAAATTTATAAATAGATTAATTATTATTCAATCTTGTTATTTTAACAATCTCTCTTGCATGCCACCATTTTGATACGAATACAAATAGTTAATTTATAAACATGACATTTTTGAAAAGATATCCAATAAAAATTATATTATTCAATCTAGGATACTACAGTAGCGGGTCTGTGGTATCTAACATTTAAATACACAATTCATATATGTTTTAAGTAGATCGGTTCCCTTCTGGAACCTATATAAATATAAATATAAATGTCAAGTACGTTTAATAGAAATAAAAGCGGTTCCCCACACTCCGTAGAAACGCAATGTCTAGAAACATAGCATTCCATACGCAAATCCTCTTTCTTAACCTCATTTAAATAACATTTATTCTTCCACTTCCTCAGCAATCAATCTTACGAATATATTTAAGAACAAAATTTTGTATTTAAGCCCTGTCACCTTTATTTGACTGTTATCTTACTGTTACTTACATATTATCAATATTATTAATCACTACAAATGTGTGAACACACTCATATATATTTATGTACAATTTATTATGTTTACTTGTACTTAATTTATTTTAATTTTAAGGTTAGATTATTATTTTATGTTAACTAATTACTTTTTATTTTCTTATAATGCCAGACAAATATTATATTTTTGTTCATTATAATTATTCTTCTGTGACTAAATGTCCGAGAATAAAATTTACTTTTCTTCTATTAAAAGCTTTTTTTTCGGAAAGGTAATATTGTGCAGTTAATATATATTTTTGTTACAGAGTGAGTTCTGTTTTAAATAAAGATGTTAAACAATTTGGGAAGCAAAACATGTTTGATGAAAGCGATGAAACCTGTTGGAATTCTGATCAAGTAAGTTGAAAGTTTTGTGCTCAGTTTTTGATTGAGTACCAATACCAATAATCCAATTGAAATTAATATGGTCATGTGATTCACAATTATTCTATTAATTGTTAGATTTTTTAAAATAATAGCCAATTGTTTAATAATCTTATTTATAATCACAAATTAATTAATAAGGTAGTGGTACCTCCATTACACTAATGTCATCTTTCGCAGTGGGCAATTGCCTGTGATCATCATTTTTTTTTAAATATGGTGGAATCTAATTATCGGGTGAAAAGACAGGATTTATGCACATCATTACATGAAAAAAGGCATAAAAAAATGTAACAATGGATTCAGAATTTCATTTTCGATTAACTCAAAAAGTACACAATATTTGGTCCATCAAACCTATATTTGGTGGTATAGGCCCCTTTTTATCGAATCATTAACATCCACCTTATTGACTATATTTTCAGAAAGTCTTTTTACATAGGTACATTTAATTTAAGTTTTGGTTTTTCAATTTGTTTTGGTATCATTTTTTCTTTTTCATCGCTCATTATTTCCATATTTTTATTCCATAATTTATTAATGATTTTCTTTGGATAAAAATTATTCTCTAGAATATGAATTTTTTTTCTTTTACTTTATCTATCCATGGTTTATCTGTAGTTCAGATGGCTTTGTATATTAAATTATTTAATATATTGAGTTTTTGATATTGGGGATGATTGAAATAAAAATTCAACAGTTTCGCTGATCTTCAGTTTTTTGTCTATTAGATGTTTAGGTTACCCTTATTGTCTTATAATTTCCATATCCAAAAATCTTATTTTCTCATTCAATTCTTCCTAAACTGTAAATTGCAATTTTTCATGAAAATTATTTAAGGTTTTATGGAATTGGTCCACATCTTTTTTATTTACATTGCAAAGAATGTCATTATTTGAAATATCATCATTATCATATTTTAAATTAATTTTACTTTTTTCTTTTGCTACCTTTAGTAACCTATTCATGATTATACCAGCCAGATTTATTGACATTGCAGCTCCCATGGGAACCTCTCTCAACTGCTGGAATATATTAGCCTGAAATAAAAAAAAAACAGATATTTGTTATTCAGAATATGCTCCATACTTGATATTAAGAAAAAAAAATGTAGTGAATATGTTATTAATTCTGTAATTATAAAATCTTTTTTTATTTTAGGGATCACCACAATGGGTGAAAGTTAAATTGAGAGAAGAAACCGATGTTAAATTTTTCACCATTCAATTTCAAGGAGGTTTTACTGCCAAAGACTTAGTATTCAAAACTGAATTAAATGGTAATAGTGAAGAAATGTGTTTTTATCCGGAGGACACTAATTCTGTTCAAAAATTCATAATAAAACAACCAACAAAACTGAGATCAATGCTTTTTAAATTTCACTCAAGCACTGATTTTTTTGGCCGAATTATTATTTACAAACTTGGTTGGTCATGATAGCATTTTTTCAACCCATATAATGTTAATTTGTAACTTTGTATTATTTTCAATAAAGAATACAATTGTAAGTGTATGTTGAATGAGATGTATGATGATCTGTAAAAGCAGAAAGAAAACTTTGTTTTCAAATGAAAATTTGAGAAATTGGAAGTGTTTCAAGCGATTCCTTGTAGTGATAATAAAGATGTGTTATCACCAATGATGATTAAATACTATACATGAGGAGTAATCAATTGTTAAAGTATTTTCAAAGCCTAGATTTACATTACAATCTTTTGTATTTCTTAATTAGTATTTGTTATGTCATAATTTAAACTTCTATGTTAATATTGTTGGATGCAGTTTCAACAATGTCATCTTAGCCAAGGAATTCTCAATAAATGAAAACTATAAATAAATTCACTTGGTAATAAGAGCTTTATGATATTTCCCATATTTTGCCAATTGAAACAGAACATTTAATGGGATTACCTTTCATTAATGGGACTAATTCACAGATGGCTTCCATATCAATTGAGGTATTAATTTTCAAAACCACCTATATCTGTTTTCCAATTTTTTGTTTATTCATTTTTTAATTATCAGTACTGGTACCAGATTGCTAAGAGTTGAAAGAATTTCTTTCTAAGGCAGTTAAATCAGATGCAATTTACTTACCAGTTGATTGGGCCATTTTGTTTTTAAAGTATCAGAAAAGGTTAACAACAAGGAATTATTGTTGTCAGGAAAATGAATATTAACTGGAGACATGAGGGCACTTGGGACCACAAAGATAAATTAATGAAAAAATTCATTAGTTTTTTCAGTCTTATCTCATGCCCATGAGACAGTTCACCTTATATAAGGCTGTCATAATCAAATTGGGTTTTCAATATTCATGAAATCTCAGGAACTATTTAAGGGTATCAATTTTTGGGTTATTTGGGACATATATCAGGACAGACATTAATAAGAAATACTCGGAGGTTTCCTACAAAGGTGTGGAAATAAATAGGTAGGCCATTAAGTTAGTTATAAATGGAATGGAATTAAGGAGCTGCTTTGGACCAATGAGAATGGCACTAGTCTTCTCAATGTTCAACCTCAAATTATTTTTATCAATATTATATTTCTCTTGTTTCCTTCGAGTCACTTCAAGCATCTTAGTAGGATGAAAGGAATGGTAGATTTGGAGGTATACATTTAGTGTCGTTTATAAATTCAATTCCTGTAAAATCACCAATTTCAAGAAGAAATTTTAACTAATCATCGCCCAGCTTGAATTTGGGATGCTGGAGCAGGTATCTGACTTAGCCCGTAAACTATCTGCCACCGAGCAGTACGAACGATTAAAATAATACTTCTCTCAAAATTCGGTCAATCAGATAGGTCTCCTATAAAGAAGCTTTTGGAGGAGCAGAAGTTGGGCGAGCCGTGACCGTCTCAGTTCCTTAAAAAGATGCAGCAGTTGGCTGGAGATATGCTCACCACGTTGTGGCTCAGAGGATTACCTGAAGAGATGCAAGTGGCACTAGCTGCGACAGACCACACAGACGCTTCGAACCTGGCCGAGATATAGCGGCCTCCAGGATGTCCCGTTATGGTGATCCAAGCCGCGCTAGAATTTTCAAGAAGAAATGATCTAGGGTCGGCAATAGATCGCTTAACTAGGGATTTGGCCACTCTGAAAGCACGAATGGGAGCGAGGATAAGTCAGCGGGAAAATAGGTCTCACAGGAATAGGAAGGCCTCGATAAGTAAAAGTAAATGGCGTTTATGTTTTTGTCACGATAGGTTTAAAGAGAAGACCAAGTGTTCCCAGCCCTGCGAATGGAAACCGGCTTGGTGTTAAATTAGTAGTAGCGACGAACGAGGCGGGTTCCGTTGCTGAGGTATCTGGTGGATACTGGAGTCACCCTATCTGTTTACCCTTTGAAGACACAACAGAAGAAGACCAGCCAGGAGTTCACCCTATTGGGCAAAATTTATCTTAAATAATAGATAGAATAATTTATTCGTACTTTCAACTATGAATAACGCATATTTTTGTTTAACCTTTATATAGATAATAAATAAATTCAAGTTATTTATTTGTTTTTCGAATAATTTGACACTAAATTTATTTTTTTTTCGATATAAGGGCCTGCTTATATATTTTCGGAGTCGTAGTTTTTTTTAATTATCTCTATTTTAGGATTACGCCACTGCGTTGTGGCTTATTTGAGATTTTTTTATTTCTTCGTATGAGGTTCTATTTATATATTTTCTGATTACGCCACTGCTTCGCGGCTTATTTGAATTTTTTTTATTTCTTTGATATGAGGAGCTATTAATATATTTTCAGAGCCTTAGTTTTTGAAAACGATCATCATTTTAGGATTAAGCCACAGCGTTGCGCCTTATTTGAGTTTTTTTGTATATCTTTAATATAAGGATCGATTTATATGTTTTCGGACCCGTAGGTTTTTAAAATGATCTCCATATTTATTATCACGCCACTGCGTTTCGGCTTATTTTTTTATTTCTTCGACATAAGGCTGGATTAGTATGTTTTAGAAGCCGTAGATTTTTAAAGTGATCTCCATTCTAGGATTGCCCCCCTGCATTGCGGCTTATTTGTTTTTTTTTTCTGTATTTCTTCGATATAAGTTTCGATTTATTTGTTTTCGGAGCCGTGAATTTTTAAAATGATCTCCATTTTGGGATTACGCCACTGCGTTGCGTCTTTTTGAGTTTTTTTAATTTTTTCGATATGTGGATCTATTTATATATTTTCGGAGCTGTAGTTTTTGAAAATGATCTCCATTTTAGCATTTCGTCACTGCGTTGCGGCTTATTTGAATTTTTGTATTTCTTCGATATAAGGGTCGATTTATATGTTTTCTGAGCATCAGTTTGACCTCAGAGCTTGGACAGCCACAAATTGATCTCCATTGTCGAGTTCACAAATAAACACAGATATGACATTATTAAATGCAGTAGAACTTGAAATGAGTTGAACTTCTTTCTGATTTCCATGTTGATCTTATTGTATTAAATAAGTACCCAGTTATAAAAAACCTGGTGCACGCATCATACAAAATTCATGAGGATCATCACAATAATGTAAATCATATTTATTATATCCATTGTAGGCTATAAAAACCTCATAACTGCATCAGTCTATTTACATCACATGACTCCAGTCTCTTAGCTCTATAGACTTAGAGAGATTTTAGAGCACATATATTTCATTATGAATAAGTAAGGATCGTACTACATAGTAAAAAATATAGATACAATCTCCATAATTTTTTACATGTATTTAAATTCTTATTTTTTACCCTTGGAAAATTTACTAAAATACAGTTACTTGCTTTTAAATACTGCATCAATAGGTCAAAAGCCTATAAGTCACACTAATTGTAAGTGCATACTTCTGTGATTTCACAAAGGAACAATTTTTTGGAATAAATCGACGATGTATACCTAATTATTATTTTTTTTATTTAGTTAGAAATATAATAATCTATCACGTGGACAATAATTACAGTGATATATGAACACATTCACACCACATATACAGAAAATGTGAAATTAACAAAAGTAAAATAATAATCAAAAACTATGTACAATAAAAAATAAAATAATCTAAAGGTAAGTAAATTAAAAACATAAGAACACCGTCATACCTATATACAATCAGGCAGAGAACCCCAAGCCAGGCTTCTCCCTACAACTATAGAAGGAAAATAAGGACTCCAGATTCCTCCGCTACTTTCAACCGCGTCACTGGTGCTAAAGCCAGTGGAGATTGAGCGAGAGCGCTTTAGCCACACACACTCATGTCTTGAGTGGAGAATCTGGCTATTGCCAGAACTCCAAGATATATACTACAAAAGATCCCTGGGCCACTGCCGCTTCAACCTTCGAGGGGGATTGTAGGGATGAGTGGAACTAGATAGAGATTGTGCTAGGGGATTTGAATGATTTATAAGGTTCAGATGGAATTTGGAAAAATTTTCAGGGATAAGTTCGAGGAACAATGGGATATTAAGGTCATGATGCAGGGTTTTGTTTGTTACATAGAACGGAACATCGACTATTGTTCGGAGGACTTTGGACTGAAGAGATTGGATGCGTTTAATGTTAGAAAATTTTGTTGTCCCCCAAAGTTCAAGTCTGTAGGTCCAAATAGGTTTCAGGATTGTCTTGTAGATCAGTAATTTGTTGTCAATTGAAATTGAGGTTTTCTAGTCAGTAGTCTGTATAATTGGCCGTATCGTCGGTTAAGTTCTTGTCTCTTAAGTCTAGTATGTGGGTTCCAAGTTAGTCTTCGGTCTAAGAGAAAGCCAAGACCGGACTGTGTCTGAAAAAGGAAGCTGGATGGAATTAAAGTGGACTGGTGGACAGGATCTGCCCCAGAGCGTGAAGGTAATGTGTTTGCCTTTGGATTCATTTACTTTGATGCGTCATTTATTACACCAGTGCTCAATCAGGGAGAGGTGTCTTTGCAGATTTAAAGAAGCTATTTCGGGATCTGAGTGGGATTATAGGATGCCGATGTCATCAGCAAATGTTGCCAGGAAGGGAAGGTATCGGGATGGACAGGGATATCAGCAATAAATAGGATATAAAGGACGGGGTCCATGACGTTACCTTGAGGAACACCAGCTTCAACTGGGTAGGAATTGGAAAATTCTGTACCACAGAGTGGTGTCTGGCAATTTCCTCGCTTACCCAGGAGATATCGCATCGACGGAGGAGATGAGAAATATGATGGGATTTTAGGATTTTGTTGGTGATCTTCCATAGAGAATTGTCATGAACAGAAAGGGAAGTAAGGTAGGAGTTGAAGAATTGGGATTTAGGGTGACCAATTCCTGCTTTAATCGTTTACTGTAATAATTATAAAAACGGTGATCGGTGGGGTGTCTTGAACGTTGCCATAATATTCTGGCATGGCGTTTGATGTGAACTAGGTCTAGCAGGTATTGAAATAAATTATTTTCTTAGGAATTTTTGAGAAGAGATTTGGGGATGAAGTAGTCCAAATTGTTTGCTGAATAGTGGTGGTAAAGGAATGTACGGCATT